TAGTTCACTGAGGGGATTTTAAATGTGAACGCGACCAAAATATCCTTAACATTGATCGATTCATCAGGAAAGATTTTAACCAATGTACCAATAACCAGCCTTATATCCTAAATGTTATGTTTTGTTTAAGATATGACGTCATTCTTCATGATGGTAATAATGGGTGGACCCAAATACTTATTGTGTTCACTAGAGACATGAGAGAGACTTGGTTTGCAAATATGTGTATCACATGTTTCTTAAAGAGCCTGATTTAATAATCTCCCATCCCTCCCTCCTCTTTTTCCTTATTCTCCATCCCTCCTTCCCCCCCCGCAGTGTCTCTTCAGGACATCACCATGAGGAAGGCTTTCAGGAGTTCAACCATCCAGGACCAGCAGCTGTTTGACCGCAAGTCGCTGCCCATCCCACTGCAGGAGTCCTACCAGACCTGCGAGGAGCCGCCCCCCCTCAACATCCTCTCGTCCTACAGGTCAGAGTGCAACCTGTTTTACTCCCTTTAAAAAGGGCTTTTATGGGTATGACGGTTACTAGAAGAGTCACATTTAGGCTTAAAGCTAATGATCATTTGCTTTTTAAAACCAGATTTTTCAAAAGGAAATCATGAACTCCCTACAATGGGAGAGAAGGAGGAGGTCGGCTGTTCCGTTCTTTAAAGGGGACCTATCATGCAAAATGCACTTTTGTACGTCTTTTATACATGAATATGTGTCCCCGGTGTTCCAGGGAACTCACCAAGTGTCAGAAAACACAACCCTCTCTATTTTCCTCCATACCCAAATCTCTAAAAAAGGGGCTGCAACGGATCTGATAAAAACTGATCCAGATTTGAACACTGTCCTGACGTCAGGACAGTGGCGCTACGGCTATTGGGCCAACTCCACCAATCAGGAGGAGACAGCCACGGCCATTGCCGTTCGAAAGCGCTGGAGACGCTGTAGTACATATGCCAGGCCTGTAGATGGTGCTGTTCTCACAGAATCTGCCCTTGCAAAAACAGAGCTAAAAAATGTCAAATTGAGCAAAATGAGGCATGGCTAAAATGCATGATCTGTTTGGTATTTTGAAAAAAAAAAAGTATAAATATGCCTTATATAGGTATGGTCCTACACTATATTATTCAAATATAGCATGATAGGTCCACTTTAAGAAAAACCTGACATCACCTTTAACTGGAAGGTTTAATTGCCGCCCTTTTTTCTGAGCCCAGCATGGCACTAACTACAGTATATCATACATTTGTCGGTTTTCATTCTCCTCAGTGTAGAGATTGGGGAAAATGTCATTTGTATTTTATCAATAGCTAAAAGAATCACTGAAATGGTCTTGAACATTGGCTGGTATTCGTCCTATTCTTGCTATAATACTTCTCCTAGCCACTATTAAAGCTTGTATTACTTGTATTGCTCACAATGATGCACAACATATAAGAAAACAGAAGACACCATTATCTTGGTTGCCCTGACCACAAATGGATACACAGTTTCACTCTGCATGTATTGAAATATCTTCTTTTGCACCTTGGTTGGTGGGGATATTTTTATCTGCTTGTGATTTTTTGCACCAGACAGCTCTTGGCTCTTGAGTGTTGAGCAGAGTGATAGAAAGAGTGTTCTGAAGATGAATAATCCATAAAAACCTCCTCTGGCTAGCACTCTGCCCTTTTTTTCACAGCCCTCTCACCCTGCTGCTTTCTCACTCCATTTTTCTCTCCCCTCTCACTCCATTTTTCTCTCCTGAAGCATTTTATATGACCTATTACTGTGCACTTGACCGAACCAGTTGGAGAAGGTTACAGGCCGAACACTTTTAATCTATTTTAATCTCTTAACTTTGTGTGTGTAGACACGTACATCATTTGCACTGTATTGAGGCAGGTGAAGCCTGTGGTATTTGAATGAGTCGTGGTGGCGGTGTTATTTAATGTGCGAGCCAAGCTAAAGGCATGCGTGGGCGTCTACCTCGCTGACTTTATTTTTCCAATCTTACTTTAAATGTCTTGTTTCGCGCTGGCCGAAGGCTACACGTCTGTTTTATTCAGACAAGGATTAATGGTGATATTTGAACCACACGTAATAACATGCACTATTAAAGCCTTGAGGTCAGTTCCCAGGCTGGATGGAACTGCTCTCACCTCTCCTTGAAAAACAATTGATGGAGTACCCCTGAGCACACTGTCTAGTAGAGTGGATTAAGTTCCTATTCTAAAGGACAGTGGCTCTACTGGTGTGTCCATGAGAGGAAGAGTCTATTCATATTAGAAGCAATACTTAGCTATTAGTGTTATCTTGTCCCTTGATCAACCATCTTATTTGTTCAGCTATAATTGATATTAAATAGGGTAAAGTTGACAGAAATGCAAGGACAGGAAGCCATCACAGGATAAAAAAAGGTTACAATATTATAGGAGATTTTTACTTCCTGTACCAGGGGAACCACCCTTTGAGTTTTCACCTCGTCTCTCCTTCTCTCCTCTGTACTTGTCTCATCTCCTCCACTTCACTTTCCTCTCCAAATGTACTTTCACCTCTCCTCTCCTGTCCTCTCCTTTCCTCTCCTCTCCTTTCCCCTATATCCTCCTCTGTCCTTGTTTCTCCTCCACTTCACTTTGCTCTCCAAATGTAGTTTCGCCTCTCCTTTCCTTTCCTCTCTTCTTGTCTCGTCTCTATCCTGCCCTCGTCTCTATCCTCCCCTCCTCTCTATCCTCCTCTCTCCTCCACACACCAGGAGTCTCCATGGGACGCCTCCCCAGGCTGTTATTTCTCAGATACCCCTGAACACAGCTGCTCAGCTGCTTCTATCTCTCCCTCTCCCATACAGTACACACAAGACAAAACCAACACAAAACACACGGCTCAAAAACCCACAGAAGGAATAGCATGCATAATGATTTACATAAACACTTTCTACCCGCAGTGCACACACTCTACGGTAGCTCTCTCCCTCTCTCTTCACGCTTTTGTTATCCTGTATTGGATTGGATTTTCTTCCCTTTGCTGTGTTGCATTTGATTACACTTTACACTCTTGCCTTTTGAAGCTTTTCCCTCTCATGTTCTGTATCCTGGCTCTGATCGGAGTCATCATCAAATAATTGACTCCCTTAGCGTTGCCCTCGCTGGGTGATTGGACCTTCGCATGGCTGGAGACACCCATTATAGTGTCAAAGGAGACATGAAGTACCCTTTTATGTGCCCTTTAGTTCTGAACAGATACAGTACTGATTAACAATCAGAAGAGATAGAATGACTATGTTGGTTTACAATACAAGTTGAAGTAGAAAATAACACTAAGGTTAGATCAATATTGTTGTTTTGGAGGAGAACACCTGGTATTGATGTTAATTAGCCCACATGTGGACTGCAGGGTGCCAGACACAGCCATTTTCTCTTTGCTGCTCTAAAGGTGTTTCCTCTGGAAGATATTTCCCAGGAGACTAAGAACCTCTTTAGAACTGTACCTGTGCTTTGACCGGAGGACACAGTATATATTTAGCTCTTGCATAAATATCTATAACCATATAGTTAGCAAGTACGTTAGGTCTGGGTGCCTAAAAAGTCCTTCCTCGTGGAGGAGTATTCTCTCGTTTTTAAAGAGCTATAGTCATTGATGCATCTACCAATCGTGTAGAGTTGAATTTACAATACAAGAAACGGACAGTGTACACCTTTTTTCATAGTTTGAATAAATATATTTTAAAAATATAACTTTTGAAAGCTCCAATAAAGAAGTGGAAAGACACCAGCAGGGCCATTTAGGAGGCTTATCCCTGTAATGATATGATGTGTGTGTGTGTGTGTGTGTGTGTGTGTGTGTGTGTGTGTGTGTGTGTGTGTGTGTGTGTGTGTGTGTGTGTGTGTGTGTGTGTGTGTGTGTGTTGTGTGTGTGTGTGGTGTGTGTGTGTGTGTGTGTGTGTGTGTGTGTGTGTGTGTGTGGTGTGTGTGTGTGTGTGTGTGTGTGTGTGTGTGTGTGTGTGTGTGTGTGTGTGTGTGTGTGTGTGTGTGTGTGTGTGTGTGTGTGTTGTGTGTGTGTGTGTGTGGTGTGTGTGTGTTGTGTGTGTGTGTGTGTGGTGTGTGGTGTGTGTGTGTGTGTGTGTGTGTGTGGTGTGTGTGTGTGTGTTGTGTGTGGTGTGTGTGTGTGTGTGTGGTGTGGTGTGTGTGTGTGTGTGTGTGTGTGTGTGTGTGTGTGTGTGTGTGTGTGTGTGTGTGTGTGTGTGTGTGTGTGTGTGTGTGTGTGTGTGTGGGTCCTTTCCTCGTCCCGAGGGACCCTTTTGATGTGCTCCTACCTGTGTCTGTCCAGAAGCCTTTTTCTGTTTCCCTCCCAATCATCATGGCACTGTTCTCCCCAGTGAGCGCCAACCACAAAGGCTTCTGTAATGCGAGTGAAGAAGACAGAGAGTGCGGCACAGTTGAGAGGGAATGAATGATAGAGCAGGACATAAGCTATTATTCATGGCAAATGCTAAACAAATATGATCTCTGGAAGGAAAGCAGACTGAGACAGGCAAGGGCAGGACATAGGAGAAGAGAAATTGTTATCAAACATTTCCCTCACTTTCTATTTTTCAGGAACGTCCAACCGCTGTAGCCTGCCGCCTGCAATTTTAGAGGAAAGAGAGCTTTTAGTAGAGCTGAAACAGCAACGACAATTATTCTTTCTGCCAATTTTCAAGCGTAGTAATTTGCTGCTTTAATTAGCCTTTTGAGCTATTTTGGGATTTTGTACTGTTTGTCCAACAACACAAGACATCCGAACTTCCCTTATTGAACTCTGGGAAATTGTGAGGGCTATTTCCCACAATTTCTTTAGTGAATTATGTACTTATTAATCAAGCAAAACAATTGACTAAATACATCAACAATGACATTATTGGTAAGTTGCAGCCATGCAATTGATTTGCAGTCAATTACAAAAGCTTTATTGCTTTATCAAATGCAAAAGTCTTGTCGATTTCTTTAGTGGAAAATAAACAAAACTGAATTTAAAAATGTGTATGGTATCCTGCGGCTAACAATAATTCCATTATCAATTGATGTGCCGATCAATTTCTTGATTAGCTGTTTTGTAACGAGATATTGGTTTCTTTTGTCCATCTGCAGGGACGATGGGAAGGAGGGTCTGAAGTTTTACACCAATCCGTCCTACTTCTTTGACCTGTGGAGAGAGAAGATGCTGCAGGACACAGAGGACAAGAGGAAGGAGAAGCGAAAACAGAAGGTACGTCTGAACAATCACAAACACAGGGACCTGGAAGAACACAGCACTTTGTACTTTCTCTTCATGAAACAGTTCAGGACTGGGCTGGTTCTTTAGTGGCTGCAACAGATCGAGGTGTCTGTGATGAGAAGCAGGCTGAAGGTTAGCGAGTAGGAAGACATGGAGTGAGAGTAAGCGAGAGGCTCCTAAGATACGATGTGTCCTGCTTGAATAAACTGATAGGGTGATTCACTGATAGGCCTGGCTTCAGACCATGTAGTCTCATGCATTAATTAGCCACCGCTCATAGATGAATCCGTTATTCCTCCAGTCAACCCTCTTAGTTATTACTTGTGTGATCATTACATCTAATTAACGGGAACATCTGCCGTTCACTTGCCCCTGCACTGTGCCATCTCTCTACCACACACACACACACACACACACACACACACACACACACACACACATGTAGAACCTCTGTACACACACATTTAATTTAGCGTTAGGTTTTTTTATGCACACAGACACTCACAAATTCGAATAAAAAGAGCTCTTGCGCATCTATAAAGAGCCCCTCTCCCACATGAAATGCAAAGCTGTGACCCCACTTCTCAGAACTCAGGGGTTTCCCACCCCCGGCATCAGGAGCTCTAATCAGCACCAGCTTGCATTTCCTCGCGTGGGAAGCAGGGCGTGCTCCACATTGTGCCCCCTCACAGTCAATCAAAGCTTATTACAGCCGTTCCAATGTAGAATAAGGAGAGTGGTTTTCCTGAATGAAAGAAGATATCATTTGGTTGGTTATGTGGCGAATTTATCCAATAATTAGTTGGGAGTGTGTAAAATGAAGCATATTTACTTTCAGTTGTTTTCCTGGTTTTGCATCATCACAATATTGACAGGTTAATAAACAAAACACAGAGGTGTAAAATGCAATTGCAAAGATCATTTGCAACAGCAGCAAGACCTTATTTTCGTCACAGGGTTAGGTCGATATGACCGCTTGTAGTCGAAGCTAATTCTGATGATTTCATTCTAATTAAAGCCCCGGGTGGCCTCAGCTTGTAAAGCTGTGTTCATTTCCCTCTTCACCACACTGGCAGATAGACAGACCCCATGGAAAGGCCTAGAGGACATTCACAGGGGGAGCAGGATGGATTAGAGGAATTACGAACACATATTTGTAGGTTTGTGTAACCGTCCTGGTGGATAAGTGGTCTGAAGAGGATCAGGGTGGATACAGTGTGGAGAGGACATGCGTGCTCTTATGGAAAAGCATGCAGAATCAGCGATTGAAAGAGTGAGGGATATCAAATAAAAAGTTATGCACACACACACACACACACACACACACACACACACACACACACACACAGATGGAATTGAATGTGTTAATCTTTGATAGATTTTCACTTTGTCACTTAGCTCACTGAGTCATTCTGCCACATCATCTCATGTTCTCTGTCACGCTGTTCATAAAGTGTGTGTGAGTTGTTCAGGTTTATCATGGATATTCTTTGTACAGATGGAGTCAAAATCCTTATCTGCCACTTATTTCCTATTTTTGTATAAATAGCGATCATTAACTCAGACACAAACTCAGGAACAGAGGCAGGGATTCACACAGACAAATGCCACGCCGCCTGTCAGGCACTATCTGAGATTGGGTGCCAACACATTTTGTTCCACGTCACTTTTGCTCTCCTCCTAAATGTCTGTGTTTGTATCTCCCTACAAATCATCATCTAAAGTTTAAAAATCGCCCATCACATGACCTGCTGTCACATTTACAAAGGAAAGAAAAAAGGAAAGGAAAGAATCAGACTGTAGACAAGATACAGGTCATCCAGGGTTTCTACTGTTGAAGATAAATAACAAAAGGACAATTCAAATAAAGAGCTCCTGACTTGACATTTTTTGGCAAACAGAGATCAGGAGCTTGTCTTAAGGGAACTTCACTTCACTGAAGCAACAAAAAAAAGTGTTTGGTTGCATTCCAGCTAGTGGGAGGAGTAATTGATTTCTGCTGGCGTGCAGGGGGAAGCAGTTCAGGGGTTCAGGTCAAAGTTTCTTCTTACAGCACAGAGGAAAGACAACAAATCAAATATTATATCCCAGCGTGTCGTACAGCCGATCGAATGACTCTGAGCAAAGGGCATTCGTAAAAGACTGATGTACAGATTTAACAGTACAAGTGTATAGTTGAATAACACCTATTTTTAACAGTATTTAAGAGACTATTCAGCTAAAATAGGTTGAGTTCATAAGCTACATTTGCTCAGGTGACATTACTCTGGATTGTATCATACATCGCAGAATATAGATCTTTTCCATGGGGATTATAATGATGTATGCCCTATTTCATTTTACTCAATCACCCGCCATTTTCCTACCAAGTCACATCACATTCACACACACTGCGCTGCACACAGGCACACACCGATTAGCAGGCAGTGATAGATGGAAAGCAGTACAGGGCAGAGAGAAGGGAAAAGAAGCCGACAGTGTGCTAATCTCATCAGCTCCTGTGTTAGCTTCGCTCTCAGTGGATTAGAAGACTTTGTGCTGAGCCAGTCACAAGGAGACAGAGGGAGTGGGAAGAGAGTCCCAGGGATTGAGGAGCAAGAGGGAGAAAGAAAGCATTGCAGCTGCTCTTTGATGTCAGTGTGTGAGTTTTACACTACATCAAAGTTTGTCCCTAGCATTTGGACCCCCTCTGGAGAAGCCCCCTTCGGCTATGCCTGCCTACTCCTGTCTCATTATAGCCATGGGCAGCTGGAAATGCCTTTACATTGTAATATAATATATAAAGGCAAATCATTTTCTGCCTTTTTTGTTATATTGTCCAGTTCCAGAAGTAAGGAGATATTTTCTGGATTTGTTCAAAATATAGTCCTTGCTACAGTCCACTGCTACATCTTAAATAAACTGCTTGGTTAAATAACGAGCCAGTAAAAAGGGTTTTGCCCACATTGTCACAGGTTACTGACCCTGATTTAAATTGCAAAAAGTTCAAGCCTATCATACATTATCAGGCCAGCTAATAATAGGAAGAGAGGTGGGTGCATCAAAAACGTATAAACAGGATATAGGAAGTCTTTGCACATACGATCAACACTGATACGATACATGCTGAAGGGTCTGCACATCTTGGATGCTTTGCTCCAAGGGTCATGTATGAAGAAGCATTGATTCCATAAATCTGCTAAATACTACTAAATGTACATGTGCCAAATGGTTTCTTATTCGCTAAGAAGGTTTCTACATTTGCACACTTTACGACAGACACTTCTCAGCCTAAGGAGACCTAGTTGTCTCTTTGCAGCTGTTTGCAAGCTAGTGCTAGTTTGTTAGCTTGTCTTTGCAGGTGCAAGAGGAGCTCAGGAACGTGACGTAGAACAGCAATTCTCTAACTTTTGCCTGGTTTAGAAACAAGTCTGCTATTACAGACAGCGCATTCGCAGTATTGAGGCGTGTGGTGCAGTGGGTTGTGCGTTGGTGTTCGGATCAGGGGGTCACCGGTTCAAACCCCACTGCAGTCAGCATGTCGTTGTGTCCCTGGGCAAGACACTTCACCCCAAATTCCTCCTGTGGGGATTGCCCACAGTACTGAGTATGTAAGTCGCTTTGGATAAAAGCGTCTAACAAGTGACATGTAATGTAATGTAATGTAATATTGCCCCCACTTTTTACTAGAACACTGACTTGCCTTGACAACATGATAAAACCTCTGTGTGTGCTTTGACCGTTTTTCATTGGATCAGTTTAATGTCCTAAAATTGTGTAGTAAAAATGTTGTAAAATACTGCTTTAGGATCTCTGTCCCCTCTCTGCCTCACGTTCTCTTTTGTGAATCCCGGTCTAACTCTTGTCGGACTCTGCAGCTGGAAATGCCTTATCTTGTGTGTCCCAATGGCCTTATAAGAGTCCTCTCTGAAACCCCTCCTCCCTTCCTCACTGCCCCAGAGGTAAGAGCTTTTTCCCCTCGTCCTCCAGAGCATCTGCTCCCCAGCTGGCAGCCTGCAGCCCTCCCTCAATCACACCCCCCCACCACCACTCTCCTCCCTCTATCCACTCTCCCTCTGGTTTGCTGTGGACAAGTGAGCTCCCCACCTCCACCCTAACAACTAACCAGCCTCCACTATTAACCTGCCTGACTGCATCCCAGTTCTACTGTAGGGATAGAAGATTAGGAGTCAATAGTCCTCTGAAAACGAGGAAAATTGGTGGGCAAGTCTCGATGTGCTCGAGTATATTATCGAGATTGTAAATGTAATACCGGCATTATGTTATAATGTTCACATCATATTTGAGGATGGATTGTATTTCAGTGTCAACAGCAAAATATAAACGTGTACATGCAGTTCCAACCAAAGGGAAAAAGGTTGAATTTGGGAAACAGACATGGAGTATTATTTCACTAACAGCAAGTCACCTCAGTCACACGATGATCGAGGAATTAACTGAAACATTTTTGGAATGGGATCCTCTTTAGATAAATGGTTTGCCCTGCTGGCGTTGGGTTTTTGTGGTTGAACTAACTCTTCCTGACACAAGTTTGAGCAGAGATGTCCTTCACTTTGTTGCAGTTATCAAATCATAATAGCTATAGATAAAATATTGCATTGTTTAAATGTACAAGGATTATTACTGTACAGTGTGTACAACCCACCTCCTATAGATTAGCCGCAGCAGAAATGTGTGTATTGTGTGAGGGGCTTGTGTTATTGTCAGCAGCAGGGTGGTCTGCGGGCCTCCCTGCGGGGGTCATTTACAGTGTTACACAGCCATAATTCTGCTGAGTCTGTCACATTGAACATGCACAAAAACATGCAGAGACACACAGGTGCACACACAGAAAGGCACATGCGCGTGTGAAGGGATGTGTACGGACAGAACACACTCTGCACATAAATCACATACATTTATAACTGCTGCATTACACACACAGCAGGGCTAACGCAGGATTTCTCTCCGGTCAGATTTACGTGAAATTAGCTGCATTTATAATAACTGTGATGAACACGTGCACACACACTTGCACTGTTTCTCATTTTCTCTCATATGCAAACACAGTGTACCTCCCTCCTTGTTCACTCTGTCTTCACATTTACGTTGCTGCATTACCACCGTCACTCTGTGATGCTTTCTATTGGACAGATGGTCGTCTGCTGGCATTATGTGTTATGTATTTATTCTCCTTTATATCTGCCTGTCATTCACCATAGTAATATCAATACAATCAAATCCGCATCATTTTTGACTCTGCCAAGGAGGGTTTGTAAGCAATTACAGAAAAAAATCTACTGGCCCCATTGTTTATGGGCCAGACTGAAAAACCCATTACAGTTTAAACTGGATCAAAGTCAGGGAAGCAGCCTTGCCAGACGTTTGCTCTCAGAGTGCCGTTTTAGTTTGCAAATGTGCTCTTTAATGCTTCTTTAAATATTGCCAAGACGCGATAACTGCAAACCTTTTAGGAAGTCAGAGGTTAGTTGCACCAAAACTAATCTTCCAGCAGAAATTGCAAAGCGAAGCTCGACAGTGTTTGGAAAACCGGAGGACGATAGGTTAAAATATTCAACCTTCTAATGCCGCTCCTTCTGCCTCAGCAGACAGAGCTGTCAGGGAGCGTTGTTGTTTCATGTTTGGAGTAAATGATATTCAGTTTGTCAGCCCAGATATATAAATGTGCTGCGTGTGTGTGTTAGAGCGCAGAGGCCTCCCCCTCGGCCAATGCCTCATCAGGAGTAATGGGCCATGCTGAATCAGATCCTAATCAATGTGCATTAGCATTAGGATTTATTCCCATGCTCGCTCTGAGCGGCCTGCCCACAGCAGTGGACGGACAAAATCATCATCACTCAGCCCAGGCAGAGGATATTCTGCACGCTACCCACACTGAGCCGAATCAACCAGCATGTTTTGATTTAAAGACCAGCACAATCACACATATAAACAACGTCTAGAGCAGTGTCCAAGTCGCATAAAAGATATTGATTAGTATTGGCTTTAATGCTGAGGTGATTATTTGTTAGGGGTCTATTCACCACCATATAAGCACAAATAAGTAATCTCACAAACCACCTGTAATGTGTTTCTGCCGCTAAATAGGATCTGAATGATTGTTTTGAAGCCAATAACTGGGGAAATGTGATGTGCTTGTGAAGGCAGTTTGCTGAATGTGTTCACTTGTTGTACTGCAGCTTGCTTATAACCTGATTTGAATGACCTACACTTTAAGACACGTCTGGCGATATTCTGTTTACTTTTGTTAAAAAGATCCCACAAAAAGACTGAAACCTTATCGTATCCTTCTGTGCCTGTGTACCCAAAGCCTATTGTATCTTTTTGTGTGAAAATGCACAATGTGCCAAGGGGACATGTTGCTCCATTACAATGAAAATCTATATGTATTGTTAAATGAATCCCTCCTACAGTACAGCTAAGAAATATTTCCCAGCAAAGGCACTGTTAGAAAAAGAACTTCTTTTGATAATCCATCAATGGATGAAATGATTCTTCATGAAAAACATGGCAGAAAATGCTGTTTTTAGACTAAAAGAAAGAAATGTCCTTGATTTTTATACGATTATGAAAATAATTTGTAATTACAGATCCTATTTTAAAATATCAAACCATACATTTGTGACCTATTAGATTGATATCTTAGGTATGAAACGAGAGGGCTTAAAGCTAAGTGTTGCAAGCAGGGTGGGGAAGTCAGAAGGTTGCCGTCTTTTCATGAGATTTGTTGACATTAAAAAAACAAAATAACACCAGACTGCCTACAACTATTCACCCACAACGGTATAAATATTTAGTTTTGAATTGAGTTGTTTGTGTCAGTATTTGCCTACTATTTTCGAACATGAATGCATAAAGTGTTCACCACACTGAATCATCACATCAATATTTTGTTAAACTGTGACATGTTATCTTCCCCATGTTTGTGTTGTTGTGTTTTTACCATTGTATCTATTATTCTGTGTTTGTTTACATGTCAGTCTTCAATGTGAGGTGTTTAGTTTTCCTCACTTTTAGAAAAACACCTGTGTAGTTTGTCCTCCTTTTCCAGTGAGATCTCTCTCTTTCTGTCTGTGTGTGTGTGTGTGTGTGTGTGTGTGTGTGTGTGTGTGTGTGTGTGTGTGTGTGTGTGTGTGTGTGTGTGTGTGTGTGTGTGTGTGTGTGTGTTAGTGTGTGTGTGTGTGTGGTGTGTGGTGTGTGTGTGTGTGTGTGGTTGTGTGTGTGTGTGTGTGTGTGTGTGTGTGTGTGGTGTGTGTGTGTGTGTGTGTGGTGTGTGTGTGTGTGTGTGTGTGTGTGTGTGTGTGTGTGTGTGTGTGTGTGTGTGTGTGTGTGTGTGTGTGTGTGGTGTGTTGTGTGTGTGTGTGTTTGTGTGTGTGTGTGTGTTGTGTGTGTGTGTGTGTGTGTGTGTGTGTTGTGTGTGTGTGTTGTGTGTGTGTGTGTGTGTGTGTGTGCGTGCCACCTTCATTGTGACCACCCCCCCCCCCCCCCCCCCCCCCCCCCCCGAGAGCTGTGCCATGTGTTGTCATTTTCTGTTTAACAGCACTTTTCTTTCCCTTTTGTCCCACCTTCTCTCACCGCCCACTCTGTTTTTGTCCCCGTTGACTGTTACTCAGCGGTGTTTTGCTCAATCCTGTGCCGCCGTATTGATTTGTTGACCCTCCTCCCCTCACACCCGGTGCTTCTCGTGTGGTTTTTGTTTTTCTTCTTATAGTTGCAGGACCCCCGCATGTATGATCAGGTCTATAGGTACCTAGACCTTCCAGGGCAGGTATGTGAAAATACAGCGATTTCAATCTTAAAACAATTGTGTGATTTCTGCCACAGCAGCTCTATGCTCCGATTCTTTACGGATATGTCTATGTGTTGAAAGTCAGTCATGCTATGTTTAGGTGGCAGGAAGTGCTGTTTGTTGATGGACCAGATTAAATATGTAAAAGACTAAACCAAATGTCCATTTGAAAATGACTTTCTCAGTCATTTTCTGCAGTAAATATGGATAATATGATTTGGTCCAAATCAGTCAGAGCACTCCCTGTTCCCCAGCTAGTACGACGGTATTTGGATAAATATCTGTGATTACTCTTTAGAAGCTAATTCATTCAAGTCTTCATCACCTAGTTTAAAACGGATACATGTTTTGACAGTAGCTGCTATGTAATTATATGGATATTTATGTGGCACGTGTTCAGTTAAATAAAGAAGGTGTAGCATCAGAAAAGATGTCCAACATAGATACATTTTTAAAATGTGGATTTGTTTATGTGTGTCTGAACGGTAATAAAATGCTTCGTTTACTCAGCTTACTCTTTGTACCTATAAATCTGCCACCTGTGCCTGTTGTGATTTTCGTTTTGTTTTATAAGATGTTAAATAAATAAATGTAACAGCAGCTAATCTGTTATGTTTTCTCTCTCACCCTCTCTCCTCACCTTTTGTTTTTCTCCATCCACAAACCATCCTTTACGGATTCCTCCTCCCTCTCCCACATCTCCTGATTTGTCCCTTCCCTCTAACCCCCCCCCCTTACCACCATCACCCTCCTTGCCGCTGAAGATGAAGACGCTAGACCGTCCCCACGAGCAAGAGAAGATCCCGCGGGCGCCTCACGACCGTAAGAAGGAGTGGCAGAGACAGGCACTGGGCGCTGAGCTCGCCCAGGACATACCTGAGGACAAACACAGAGAGGCTAACGGATCTGCAGGTTACCACGACAACAGGTATGTGGGATGGCTTCATGCACCTCAAGAGCAGACAAACATTTCAATTCACATAAGTTATCATTTATTATTGTTGGAAAGTAAGTACTACCTGGCCTTAGTCAAATGCTCGGCTTTACATACACGGTAACCATGGAAATACAGCATGTATAACTTCTAATTTAAAGTATATATGCGTTTGAAAAGTCCTGATTGGTTCACTTATTTGTCAGCATGATGTAATCTACAAAAATAAATTGCGCCTACTCCACAGAGAGAGCAAGATGTTGCAATTTACACTTGAGCTGCGACGGCCACTATTAAGGTTATGGTTGCGTTTATTGTTCCTCAAAGCTCCGGCGCCACTCATATTCAATCATTTCCCTGCAGGTCAATGTGATTAATAAGAAAAACATTTTTGCAAAGTACTGCTTTGCTTTGATTTTAGAGTGCCATGAATAGCTGACAGTATTTCTTTCCCAAGCAATCAAGTGCAGTGTCGGCACATATAGATGGTTTGAATGCACACTCTTAGAGGTTATTAACTAAATATCCACAGTGTGATGAAATGGACAGTGTGCTGATGAAACGTCGTCTTTTTGTAGCTGAGGCACGTTAGCTTTTTTCGCTCATAAATAAAATATAAAACTGGTGCAAGATGCTGAAAGACGCCGATAAATAGTTGTTTCTAGAAGTAACTTAATTCAATGTGGAAAGAGGGATTTAAAGGCTTGACCTGAGCCAAAGTAGAGTGTAATACAGCCTCCATTGATGCTTCTTCCTGTAGTTAATTACATTTTGAATGTGTTCAAATATCTACATCAGATGGGTCTACTCATTGCATTTCTGATCTTATTTATATAACAGATGAGAGGGTGGAATGTTGTTAACATGAATACTAAAAAATATGAATACAGGCTGCAACATGTTTCCTTATTACCACTCTGCTTCGTAAATACAGGATTGATCAGGAAAAGGGGTATTTCTTAACTTATTAAGACATTTTTCGATTTAGAGTAGGCAGACTGTTGTACCCTTTTACATTTACATCAAATCGATTATGATAGTTCCCAACCTGGGGGTAGATCATCCTCTTCCTATCAGATGATTACAGGATAGGAAGAACACAAGCAAAATCATATTCATTTTTTTCTTGCATGTTTGTTTTTTGTGAAGTGGCTGTTTTATCTCTTCATGCCTCCAAACTGTATTCAAATGAATCCAGAAAGGTTATGAGAGAAAATGGTTATTCTTATTCTTCTTATGAGAGAAAATGGTTCTTCCTGAGTGAACAGTAAAAAGGGCTCACAGGAAGACTTTGCTGGATGGTAGGGGTCACTTGAAAAAAAAGCTTGTGCAATAAATGTGTGGGATAATTGGGGAGTAACATAAATAATAATAATTGATCAACAGTTGTTTCTCAATGGGCCATAAGTGAAAAAGGTAGGGAAAACTGGGTCAATTCTCTATGTAGCATGACTATGTTTAAGCTCTTTCAGCAGAAAGTAATTGGTAATAAGAATACAATGGACAATAGAGGCTGGATTAAAGCAAAAAAATCAGCGAGGTAAATTCAAAGTTTGTGAGTTAAGGACAACGCCTCTCTCTGCTCAGGGCTCCCATGTACTTGGAAGATATGGAGGGGCCCTTCTCTCTGGCGGCGCTGCCCTACAGCCAGATGAACGAGCTGCTGAACCGTACCGGGGACAGAATGTATTCGCGGCCCCACGACCCTCCACCGCCTCCACCCCTCATGCACCCACTGGGAGAGATCAAGCCACCCTCTGTGATCAGGTGGGAGAGTAGACCACACATAACCTCAGATTTACGACCCCCACGGAAACCTTAAATCATATACTTTGCATAGAAATTGCAAAAAGGTGATAGTTGCTCACCCAGGAAGTTGTAGCTCTGATTTCTAACTTACCTGAAAAGGGAGTGCTACTCATCTGGTGCAGAGAAAGTCATTCACTGAGTCTCTTTTAGGTTTGTTTCCCTCTTCCTGGTGAGTTACATTACTTTCCTTTTGATTCTGCCTGAGAGGACGAGGATTTTTCACTCTGTTTGAGCAAAAAAAAAGAAAGGATGGATGGATAGACGGAGGGTTTGTGGACCAAAGCTGAAGAAAAAAGGAAAAGTCTCAGAGAAGGGCAGGATCAATAAAGTGTTAAGGCCACTGAGCGCATTACAGGTTGTTTTGAAGGAATGGAGAGATGAGAGGGAATGATTAAGGATGTGGTTGCAAAACAAATCTCATTGAGTCTTTGCAGCGATCTTCTTTGATTCTAGATTTGATTTACTTCTAGCCTTTGTGTGACCTTTTGATTCTGGTATCTCATGGTTACTTTCTTTAAAAAGTTATTGTTATCAACTTCTATGTCCAACTTTCACACTATACCCCTTCCCTGCCGCTTTAATGTAGCACTTAGAGGAAATACCCCCCCCCCCCCCCCCCCCCCCCCCCCCCCCTTCATCCTCGCTGTGCTTTTTGTGTGCTGCAATTTTCTCCGTAGGAAGAAAATTGATTGTGAACATGTCGATCTTTGTGTTGTGATGTCCTGATCCTGCCACACAGCTTCAGCTGCAGTTCATGTCCTATAGTAAAAACATTCTGACTTTAATGTACGAGCTGCAGCAGGTCTACAGCCAGGAAGATTTCAATTGTCTCTAAATCTCTAGACTTGTGTCAGTCTTTGTAAACATGATAGTTAAAGTATGCCGAAGCGGATCCATAAAAGCAAATTGGTAGCTACATGTTATTATTTTAAAAGCATATTTATATTTGAGGCTGCTCCAATGTTACCCATGTATTAAGGTGTCACCCTCTCTCTCTCAGACTTCTGATTCAGACTGTTTTCTCACTGCTCAGCACTCGTCCTCGTCATGACCTTCTTTTCTTTCCTTCTCTCTCTTTTTTTCCTTTCAGTTCCAGTTCAGGTTTTTCCGACAGCAGACCCCAGTCTCCAGCACGGACATCAGGGTTCAACTCCAACACTCCCCCTCCACCGCCCCCCCCCTCTCCCTCCTCCGCCTCCCCCGTTACCCTCCTCAGGCCTACGGGGCACTCCTCCTCCTCCCATTCCTCCTCTTCCAGTGCATCAGCATCCCCCGCCCATCCCCCCCCCTCCGGCTCCTCTCCAGATCGCCCCCGGTGTGCTGCACCCGGCCCCGCCGCCCATCGCCCCGCCCCTCCACTGCTCCCCGGCCCGTCTCCAGCAGGTCCTGGAGAGGGGGCTGCCCTCGGGCTCTGGCACCCAGTCGGACGGCAGCATCCTGCCTCCCCCCCCGCCGCCTCCCCCTCTGCCCCTCACTGGAGGACGGAGCTCCTCGCCCTGTCTCTCAGGCCCCCCACCCGTGCCGGCCTTCCCCTCAGCAGGAGCCATGGCCACTCCGCCCCCCCAGGGCAGCAAGAGGCACCAAGCAGCCAGCCTGCCCCCCATCAGCGACGCTCGCAGTGTCCTGCTGGAAGCCATCAGAAAAGGTGGGTTGTGTTTTTCCAGAAATGTGGGAAGGTTCCCCAGTAAACAGTGAGGAGTCATGCTTTCTCTGGACAAAGCACACAATTACTTTTTTAGGGAGAAGTGTGTCTTTGTTATTGAATTGTAATTATTTTTAGAAAAATAACCTATACAATTTTTTCAGACTCTAAATACGCACTTTTTTAGAGAGGGTTAGGGATAGTATATTTTTGAGAAAATGGCTATATGATAACACACATCTGTATTTGTGAATAAGTTGGAAAACTAAATTAAAATTGGCGACAAGGGTAAAAAAAGTGGCGACAGATAACCCACAATTTCCGAAAAATGTGTCAATTGATGGAGGAAGGGTAATTAATTGACAGAAAAATGATTAATTTTAAAAGCCAATTTTAAGCAAACAATTATGAAATGTATTCCAGCTTCTGAAATTGTAATATTCGGTGATCTCATAGTGAATAAAATGTGATGTTTCTGGGGGTTTTGAACTGATGGACAGACATGCTATTATGTCATCATAACCTCTCTTTCTCTGCTGCTTCTTCCAGGCATACAGCTTCGGAAAGTGGAGGAGCAGCGAGAGCAAGAGGCTAAGCACGAGCGCGTCGGCAACGACGTGGCAACCATCCTGTCCCGCCGCATCGCTGTGGAGTACTCCGACTCCGAGGATGAGTCCGAGTTTGACGAAGGAGACTGGATGGAGTGATGGAGATCAACAGATGGAAGGGGGGGGAGAGGAGGCAGAGGAGGAATGTGTTCAGGTGCACTCCACACCTCGCCATCACAGTCCTTTCTACTCTGGGAAGAAGCAAAACATTGTTGTTGCCCACTCTTCCTCTGTCGCGCTTCATTCTTTCTCAAATCTCTGTCTTGTGCTTTGTCTTCGGAGGAGAATCTCCATGTCCTGGTCTGTCTCTCTAGTGTTCCAAGAGAAGTTTTTGCATTTATTCTTTTCTGCACTACCACATGACATTGTTTCTTCTGGATTTCTTGTGATGAAGTCCCCCATGTTTACTATTGTTATACATGAAAATAACTTTTTGAAGAACCACTTGTTTTGTTTCTTATCTGTACGTCGATGTAAAAAAAAAAACAAGAAAAGGAAAAATGAAGGCATGTTGCATTCTCCTTAGTTCTCCAGCACCATTTTGCCACCCGGTGGCACAACATGGCATTGAGTGGATGCTGGTTTATTTTATGGTCTTTTCTTTACATTTTTCTGCGGACACATTTGCCGTTGTAACGGGACAGTAGTTGCTGATACTGACCACTACATGAACTCAGCTTTTTTGTTACTTGTCATCAGGACTGACTTCACCACTTAGAACAAGCTAAAGATTGTGTTGGTATGTCATGTGATGTTTGCTATATAGGTGAAAATGAAGAAGGGGAAGCTTGTGCATATCCATTCACTTACATCCAACTTTTACCCCAGGGAAATGTATGCCAAGAGATTGAGCTTTTTGTCTGTCAAGGTTCTACAGAGCCCTCATGTGGAAGAGAAACACTGAGCCATCGGCTTTCTGCATATCGAGCTCCCATCATTTTTCAAGTTCTTTGCCATAGAAATGGACACTGGAAGTGGTTAGATGCTGTACATGTACGTCAGATCTCCTGCCTGTTTACTGTTCCTGATACATTTTCAGTGTGCAGAGAAGAAAAGTGTGAATTTCAAAAAGGAACCCACTCAACAGAGTCTGACCGACACCAGGTAAACCCACTGAACAGCACTGAAGGCAGCTCTTCCCTCAGATCCCCTGTTACTGAGTCCCTGCCCAATAACAAGAAGCCTTACCTCCTTTGGTTCTGCAGCAACAAACACAATAATACATGTTCTACGAGACTGCCCTTTCAGGCATGAAAGAGAAGGATACATTATGCCTTGTTTTGGCTCATTTCAAAGAAAATGTCTGCCATCCTTTTCTGTTCGTCGTTCGTTCGTTCTTTCTTCTACTTGCCTTATTGTTCGTACAAAACGTATCGTTGAGTTGATGAATGTATTGTGCTGTTACTACTTACTTGCCTGCGCTTGTATGGATTTGCTGTTTCTATGTTTGGGGAGGGGGGGGGTGACGGGAGGGTACAGTAACCCTGGTTTAAAACAGAAAAAAATTAGATCAATACTGTATACCATGTAACTTATGTAACTGTTGACTGTAACAGTTTGCTTGAATTAATAAAAATCTAATGTTATGTTTTAGCCCTAAATGTTATGGGTCTGTTGTTGTTGTTGTTGAGTTTGTCTCCACAGCCAACAAAAGTGTTATATGGAACATCACCAAGACATAAAATCAATTAAAGGCATTCATTACTCCTTTCATTATGGCCATTAGCAACATCTTGTTGATATAATTATACTACATGAGATCATGTTTAGAAATTGTCCAAATCTGTGATGTGTAATAATCAAACATCTGTTCAGCTAAGAAAAATAACCAATCCTAGTTTAGTTTTGGGGTACTATAAGCAAAATAAATATGTTCAAGTTAATATTCCTGATTGCTGCAAGCATATCATAATAAATGATGTCTCTTTGAAATGTGGCATCATCTATCTGTGCAGCTGCCTTAAAACAATTCAATAACTCTGGATCAGTTATAATTAACATCAAATCCGAGGATGATTTATTTGCTGGGCATTTTGTCATATAATTAATATCAAAAGATGAATCTGCTTTATAAGGAAGTCTGCCAGGCACTCAAAGTTAGCTAATGAGAATTAAGAGGATCATTTTATCCGAATAAGCAGTTTAGCCTTATAATGTCTTGGCCATGATCCACGTAACAGAACAGCTCTGGGTCATTTTAAGCCAGCTATGAAGAACGGAGAAATCCCTTTCAATCAAATAAAGCTAACTCACTTATCCATATTAGAAGGAATAGTGCCGTGAGTTTATCCCAAATGATCCACATCTTGACTTTTGGAGGAGAACCGTCCTGAAGGGAAATGTGTTTGTCCGGTGTGGATAAAGACTAACGGTTATAATTAAAAGCTCACAATTACATGTGCCATCTCACTCTCACCTCCCTCTGTTCCCATATTGATCATGTCTTCTCCCCTACACTCATCATGTCTCCTCCCTCTCCTCGTCTTCTCACCTCTCCCCCTGTTTATAGAGAGTACTGAGAAGAAAGAGAAATATGTTGTTCCTGGAGTTTTCATATTTATTATCCTGTCAGCGTCACTCTTTATCCTGCGCTTTCAAAGACGCGTTGGGCATTCGAGCTTTTGTGTCAGGGTGTCACATGACAACTGCGTCTCAAATTCATGTCAGCTTTGTGACCGGGTGGATTTTAACTTCAATAGGCCTACATCGTGAAGTGCTCTCATTGCAGATGACAAGCATGCTGGGAGGAGGACGAGTGTCAGTGTGTGACTGTGTATATGGGGGCTGTACATACCAGATAGTATTATTTTCCCCATGCTTGGAAGATGTCCCACTGTTTCACCACGGGGGAAATTACCTGATTTGTTTTCTTCCAACATATAGTCAACAAACCTTAAATAGCTTTTGTAAAAAGAATCATCAGCTGGTGTACTTTGTTATCACCCCGATGGGTTTTGTCACATTGGGCAATCAATTGTTCAGCTGTTCAGAATTGTGCTTATGCAGAATATTCCACCTGCCTGCAGTAATTGACTGTAAAACAAAAGCTAAAAATAATACCGTCCTGCTCTAAAGTGATTATATGTGTTCCTCTTTGCTGTAATCTACACAGCAGCAGACAGTTTATTGGAACAATCCCCCTCAGTGGAAGTAGTTTGCGTAGAATAGAAAGCCTTTTGTGAGAAATAAACTTTATATGAATAATTGTTCTGAGGGACTGCACAAACTGTTTAATGCCCTTATTTTTACTTTCTCTGTACAGTGTTTTCGGGAACAGACTGAAACACAAAATACACATATCTGCACATCAGCTGTTTCATTTTGTTTTGTAATATTGGCACTACTTTCTACTGAGACTAATCTATCAAAGAATTGTTCAAGTCTTCAAAAAAGGGGGATGAATACAGATACAGAATACAACATGTGTAGAAACATAACTGCACCCACAACTCTAAAAAAGAGAAGGCATGAGCAGAAACACTGAAATGTATTTACAACAGAATTCATGGAAGACTACTTCAGTCAGGAAGCATTTTCTTATACAGGACTGACGACTATCAACAAGTCTAATGATATGAGAAATTGAATAAATAAAGGTGAAATACAGTGATTTTATACTAAATTGAATCATTACCCCAACTTTGAGTATCTTCATCCATAACTACTAAGCACCCTTTATTTGCCAGAGTTAAACATGAACACATTATACAAGTACTTCAGAAAGCCCTTTAGTCTATTAAAATATATCTAAAAAAGGAAAATATATAAACATTTCTTGCAAAATCAACACATTTCTTAGTTAAAGGTAGGGTAGGTAAGTTTGAGAAACCGGCTCGAGATCGCTAGAATTTGAAAATACACAACCGGAGAAAATCTGCCACTTCCTTATAGAGCCCCTCCTCCAACACACACGAACGCGCACATGACCAATGAGGGCACGAGATAAGTTTGTGCCCCGATGGAAGGCTGACAGGCAGGTAGGCCATCCAGTTATTTTAGCCGGGCCGGCTAAAATGATTGGTCGTACTTTTTACAGTATTACGGCTTCCACAGATGACATTTAATGGATTTTTTGTCAAAGCACTTAAGATATTCATTGCTATCGGGATGTTAAGAGCATTCCATGGAATATAACAAAAAGTGTATCTCGAGCCGGTTTCTCAAACTTACCTACCCTACCTTTAAAGTAACTACTGAGAGAAAGAAGGGCTCACACACACTATAAACTAAAATAACAGATTTGCAGGTATTGATCTTATACCGTCAAAATGTATCTGTTGGCATGACTGATTCAGGACTTATTTTGCTGCCGTATTGCAAAGGAGAAAATCTCTCTGTCTGTCTCGTCACTTTACTTTGAGAGGGTTCCCCTTCCTTCGCGGCAGCTCCTTCTGGACCTGACGGGCCCGGGTCCCGAAGCCCAGGGACTGCAGGGACTCTGTGACGTAGCGCTGCGTGGGGGAGACGCACAGCATCACCAGCAGCTTGGCATCTCCGCCTGGTGGAGGGGATGGAGACAAGAGGGGATGTTCAAGACTGACATATTAAACACCACCCAAAAATTACATTAGAGTTCAATTCAGAAACAAGTAGGTTTACACATATGAGGATGTTGCCTTAGTGTATATGCTGCATACATAAACACAGCTGAAGAAGATACATTGTAAGAAAATCTGAGAAAAATAACACCAATCATAAAACACGATTTAAATAAAAACTATTATGACGATACGATAAGCTAATACTTTAATGGTCTGAAATTTGACTTGCATCACAGCAGCTCCATGTGTAACATCAACATAGACAAATATCAAGACACAATACATGAACAACAAACATTTAACACAACAGCATATTCACTGTGAGAAAACATGCTCAAAGAGCCTTTAGCGTGCATTTGATCTGGGATTTAGCTCTGTAAATGTATGACATTAAGATAAAGACAATTATTCACAGGAAATATAGATATACCAAAAGATTACACTAAAAATGACAAAATACAATTTAATTACATGTGTCATACTTTTCTTTTCCTTTTTAGGGCAAGGACAAATACATTATACAGACATATCTTGGCGTAGTGTTTTGGATGATTCAGTGTTGTCTGAGTTACAGACAGTACTGGTATGTGGAATCTCTCAGCTAGGTGAAGACATGTTGGTGTCAGTGACTCTTTCCCAGGAAATGCAAACCCAGAAGATATGAATCACAGGTGTTAGAAAAAGAGAGTGTGAGTGTGTAAGCGTGTGTGCGCCTCACCTATGGCGTCCTGTAGCAGATGGGTGAGTTTGCTGTTCCTGTAGGGGACGTGTGGTCTCTGCTCGGCCAGAGCTCCCAGGACATCGGACAGAGCAGAGAGACTGCGGTTTATACAGGACACCTCCCACAGAGCGGCGCCCGAAACTCCAGACATACCTGACACACACACACACATTTTTTAACAGTCTGCACGGAAGCTGATTGATATGCATAATGAACAAGCATCCGTTCTACTTGGTTCAGTGACAGTGACCCATACACATATAACAACAAAGACTATACTATAACACCCCTTGTTGTGTAATACCAATTACGTGCAATATATATATGCCGTTAATAGCTGTGCAATATATACCTGGCTGCTATATCTCTCAGAACTGTTACAGGATGTGTATTTTGTAAATGGTGTTGTTTAATATTTTTTATGCATGCTTCTTGGTTATCATTAAGCTGTCTTTGGCTCTTTTCTTGCTGTAACAAATTCAAATGTCCCCTCTGTGGGATGAATTAAGGTATTCTGATTCTTATTCTGACCTTTTTTCTGTGTAAATACAGGTTCATTACCAACACCTGCATCCTCAGCTGTGTTTGTACAGGCTGTACATGAGCAGGTTGAAATCTGCACAAAGCAGCATATTATCCCCAGCATCTGAATGAGACATGCCACATGACTGTTTTTCAATTATTTACATAAAAAAATGTATGTTTTCCAGGTTAAATGTGGCCAGATGCATCTTTAAACAATCACAGACCAAATTTCCCACGACACTAAACTAAATTCACATCCTTGAGCCCCTCTCACCGACACTCTCGCTCCCTGCCAGGTCCACCAGCTGCAGCTTGGTTTTGAACAGAGCCTGGGAGACGCTGGGCCTGGGGGAGGGACAGGGGGAGTGTGAGGGGGAGCGGCTGGGAGAGGAGGCCGTGCTCGCGAAGAAATGGTCCTCAGATGATTTGCGCGCGGCGAGGTTGGCACGGCGACAGCGTGGGCTCCACCATTCCTTCTGAGCGGCCAGCTGCATGTCCTTCTTGGCACTCTGGAGCCTGCGGGCTGAATGGAAACAAACAGTGTATGAGTGTGTGGCCAACAGGTGTCATCAATGCTAACGTGTGTGTGAGTGTGTGTGTGTGAGTGCGTCTCACCCAGGGCCAGTGCGTTGGGGCTTTTGGAGGAAATGGTGAGGGTGACAATGAGGTGAGAGCGAGAGGAGTCGGGGTGGACGAGGGTGGGACAGTGAGCCCTGAGCTTCAAAACCCTGCTGAGGATCTGCATCACCTCAGAGGCATCCCGCACGGGCCTGGAGGACATATGAAACACATCCGACATGAAGTGATAGCTGTTCAAATCAGTATTGAACATGGATGAAGTGACTATGTCTATGGGAACAATATAACTCAGTGACCAAATTACGACCCAGTGCAGCCTGTATTGGTTTTATCTTATAGTTTTACTGCATTCAACTTTACTGTTTGGTTCACCCGCCCCACCCTGATAGCGTCATTTTCAGCCCTTTCCCATTACACATCATTTGATACATTTTACATGTCAAAAAGCATTGATTATAGGAATACAAAACAAACGGGCAGGCTTTTTGCCATAGTGCAAACATTTGATTTGGTTGGTTTTAATAAATTATATTTGACAAAGGTACTAGTATTTATATTTGATTCATCTGTATTTGAGCTGTTTTATTTGTTAGGGTTATAGGCAATATGAAATTATTTTAATTAGTGTGTTGACTGTTAAGTGTATACCTGTCCAAGGACTGCAGATGGAAATGTGCTTTTAGCTATAATCTGGCATATAGCATTTTTTCTCTGTTTGAGATTAATGTATTTGTATGCATGGTACCTGTTCAATAGAGATATAAAATAATAATAAATAGAAACACAATCTTATATTCTGGTTCTTCCTCACTTAGAAAATCATTGTGTCTCCTCAGCTGCGGCTGTACTCACTGGTATTTGAGGGCGATGACCTGGCTGGCCCCATTGGAGGTGGTGATGACGTCGCAGCGCTGCTCCACCGGGTTGCCCTGCGCATCTTTGGCCAGAAGGTCGAGCACCTCGTTGTTGTACACCTCCATCACTGACACCTCCACTGTGTGGCTGTCTGCTGGCTTCTCAGAGATCATCCTGCACACACACAGGAATAGGTACAAAACCACATACATGAAAGAAAAGACAAAGTTCGAATATATTCTATTTTGACACACTAATGGATCAACTTTATCTCTACACAGTAAATCAGACCAGATCTACTTTGGATTCAGCATGTCATAAAAAAACACATCTCGCAGAGTTTAGTCATTATAGACTGTAAATATCAAACAAATGCTTTTCTTCCTTACCGAAAGAGTTCAGCAGCCGCCTTGGGGATGATGCCCTGCTGCCCCCCCGAGTGCTCCTCCAGCAGCTGGGAGCCCATCATGGTGTGAGTCTTCCCACTTCCTGTCTGCCCGTACGCCATGATACACACATTGTAGCTGCAGGGCAGGAGATGACATTCAAGACATGCAGTCACATTATGCCATTTGTCCCATTTTTAATTGTTAGTTCTTCATCCCCGCAGGGTGGTTTTTCAATTAATATAGCTGAATGAACATTTGAATGGCATGTGATTTGATATAGCCTTTTTTTTTTAATGCTTCCGTACTCACCCGTCCAACAGAGATGTGAGGAGCGGCTTGACTTCCTCGAACACTGCATCCTGGGATTCCTCTGGTCCATGCACTCTGGAAGAAACACAGAGGAATCATTGATACTTTTGAAACCAACTAGAGTAATTGCGCCATGACGGTGTTTGTTTTTACCTCTCAAACTCATACATCTTGTTGTGCACTGGCATTCCTGTTTTTATGCAATTCACCATCACTGTGTCCTAAAAAACAACAAATGGGGCAAAACAAAAATAGGGTGAGGACACTGAGGCTGCTAGCAGCAATTAAATATTGTAAATGTTAAGAAAATGTAAAACTCACATCACTGACTGTAGATACCACTTCCTCTGATAATGCAGGCCTGACAGAAAAAAACAACACATTATATTTGATATTTTTAGCTTTTCAAGTGCAAAAAAACTCTTAATGATCATAAAGTATTTCATATTGTCATGATGGATCCTGTAATGCCCCACCATGATCCAGGGGTGGAAGACGGGACGTGGTCAAAGGGTAAAACTGGTCGCACCCTGCAGTGAACCCTGATGTTGCCTCTCAGCTCCTGTACACATTTAAGAATAACAAAGCAAAATATCAGATATGCTTAAGGTTTCTATGAACCCAGACTATAACCCATTATCTTCAGACAATAATCTGTCCTCACCACCAGTGTGTTATGGAGCTCTTTCCTCCTCTGCCTCTCCGCCCGGCACCTCTCCCGCTCCTCCTCCAGAGAGCGCTCTAGAGCTGAGACCACAGCTTGTAGGTCTGGTCATGGAGAGCAGAGAGATAAATTAGAGAAAAGAGGTTCAAGCTTATTATTGTGTTAGTTTTGATACAACAAACAAATAAGGAAAAGGACAGACACCATCTGTTCTCTGGTTTAAATCTTTGAACTCAGGCCAGGTCTGTAATCCTGGAGCACACATGTTAGTGCTGTTAACCCGGCACTAAACAACTCCATTCACTCTGAGAACTTTAAGGATAGGCTTAGTTGAACGCAAATATAACAAAATCTTTATTTTTGTATCTTTAAAGATGATTTCAAATGCAAATTATTCTTTAAAAAATCCTCCCCAAAACAGCAGCTAAAGTGCTTTTATTTTAATGTACATATATTTCTGTACTTAAAGGCCTTAAGAACACAAATTGGCTGCGCAAACCTGTCATTTGGTTATTTATAGATGCATTTCATTGGCATTTTACCACAAAAAACATTTTTTAAAGTGCCTTGGTGTTGTTGCTGCATCCAAATTCATAGTTTGTTAATCATATAAGTCATTTACATTTTTACTAATGAGATAGTTATTAGATTTGCAAGGTTCTGTATCGATGCATATTTGTGTCTGATTTCAGATTGATCCCTTTATAAATATTGAAATAGAAGTCAAAAAAACAATTAACAGCCCTACAATATAAAAAAGTATTATAATCAAACTAGCAAATAAATTGCAAAATAAATGTAATGTAAGAGAAGTCTCCAGATAGTTTGATACTAATAGAAAGGAGAGTACTCTTTATTTAGTGCAGGTAAGTAGGTGAAGTTTGCAGCATTTTGCACAGCATGTTCTCAGGGAGATCAGTTGTCACAAATCTTCAGAGCCATGGTGAGTAGCTGACTTGTGGGACTGAATTAAAGCAAGATAGTGAACCCTGGGTAACCTCGCAGGGCGGGGTGAGAGAGAGGAGGGGAGGGGCAGTGTGAGAGGATTATCAGCAAACAGCCTGATCAAGAAACAGCCAGCACAGAACCTGTAAACCACTTTAGAGTAGTGAGAAACACAGAGAGGAGGAATGAGTTGGCAAAACAAAAAGCGTTAATAAAAGTGGAAGGTAGAAAATGTCAGACCCGAAGGAAGGCATAAAAATGTTCCTTAATAAAATATTCAACGAATGGTAAATTAACTTCTGACGGTTTGAAACCTCCCCTGTGATTTACATTATGACTTCTACACACAGTCCCCTCAGCTATAATAGCTTTTTGGTATAAATCCAAAATGGCAGAAACAAGAAAATGCCAACATGGTATACGTGCTACAACACTATACTCTTCCAGAAGGAGAGCATGTGGCAGCAAAATGTACGTATTCTTGCCCTGATTTATTTTATTAATCTTTTTAATATAATTCATGCCTATCAATTTTGTGTGTATTGACCAAGTAGCAGAACTTAAAATGCCGCCAATATTTCTTTATTACCAGGCCTTACACATTGACCCTTTGAATTTGAATCTATCATAGGTTAATGTCAGAGTGCCTTGAGAAGCTGCTCTTCGTAAAGCTGCATGCTCACTCCAGCTCACAGCACCCAGGCTCCACCATAACTTTAAAAAAAAAAATGGCCAAAATGGTGCCGAACAGTACACCTAGAAGCCAACAAAAAAATAATTTGCTAAGGAAAATGGGGTAAAAGATGCTGCATTTCTGATCAATTGTTATGCTACACACTGAGACACTTACCCTGAACCTCGTCTCCACGGTCACCCTTTAGAGAACAGCTGGCCTGCTGTACTTTGTCCAGCAGCTGCTTGCTCTGCTCTTCCAGCTCAGTGGAAAAACTCAAATACACTGCGAAAAGTTCACTAAAATCCTGCTTCACGGCCTGCAACCAACACAGAGAGGAGACATGAAGTGTGAAGGGCAGTGCGGATGTGTGTGTGTGTGTGTGTGTGCGTGCGTGCATGCGTGCGTGCGTGCGTGTGTGTGTGGTTCTGCTGTTTGTCTTTTGTTTGTGTGTCTTTCTAAGTTCCTAAATGACTTTCCTTTCTTGCCTTTGGATGGTATTTAGTGAAACATTTCAAAAGATCAGATAAAAAAACTATTAACAAGCTACCATGTGCACAAAGACATTCATTCTGGTGCATGTGTACCTGGACCTCAGAGAGGAGTTTGGCGAGGGCTGACTGGGTGATCTTCTGAGCGTTCCTCTGCTGCAGATGATGCTTCAGGGCCTTGGTCTCCTTTTCATGGTCTCGACGGAGCTTCCCCAGACACTAAAGGATATGACATCAACATACTTATTCTGCACCACTGTACCGTTTTATACTCACTTTATGCCAAGCAACAGCTCAACTGGCAGTTACAGCTAAATTAAATAACCCCCCTTGTATCGTGCTTGTTCGAATTTAACAGAATTGTAATACAACACACGTCTTCGAGAGACTTGTTGGTCAACTGTTGTTGATAACTTATTAAGCAACACATTTACCCTAATAGATGTAAAAGTGGCATACATTGGCAAAATGTTGAGGTTTAGTAGGGAACTATGTGTTTCCCAAAACCCACAGTAAAAGCTCTGGTGCTAAATGATCGCATTCTGTTTCAATGATCAGTGAAAGATGAATAAATAAACAGCATTGGAAGAGAAAATGTTAAATGCTAGAAAACAAAAGACACTCTTCTCAGAGAGCTTATTTTAAACAGTTTTCATTACATTGCACATTTTTAAGTATTATGTAATTATTTGTAAGGTCTATAAAACCCAATAAAACATGTTAGGCTATTTTAGGTAATACTAGTTGCCTGTTTACAACTAGTTTGAGTTTAAATAAATTGAGCATGTGAAGCGACAGTCTACCGGGATTATTTTTGGTATCCATATTCTCATTATATAACAGAGACATAGCCTACTGTACAATACAAAGCTACACCTGAATTCAATGGCAGTGAGATGACAGATAAAATACATAATGTATTCCAATCATGCTATTAAAGAAAATACTGTAACAGTGATCTGGGATTCCCTTAGGCCTAAAAGGTTTAAGCCTGTAAGTAATGATGGCAGGAATCTTCTTACCTCGGAAAGTCTTAAATGAAGAATAGCATTCTCTGTCTCCAGTTCCAGTATTCGTTCCTCTTTACTCTAAAAACACAAAGACATAAGACACAATCTTGGTTTTGTGCGTCGGCTACTAAATGGAAAACAATCAATGCATAAACCTCAAATCCATTAACAATCTCTGATCATATATCCCACATTTGGCATGACACTCTAGCAGTGATTTACCCTCAGTTTGTGCTCCAGCAGGTGTACCTGATGTGCAAATATTTGGTCCCGGTTTATAAAGAGAGGCATTTTTCCTAAATGAAACGGAGCTAGTAGAGAAGAAAATGCATGGCGTCGTTCCTTTTCTCTCTCAGCTGATTGTCCTCTCAGGTCCTTTAATCCGATTAACAACTCTCTCAACTAGCACACACACCTTTCTGCTTTGTAGCAGAGACAGAAGACAGTTTTCGGTCGCTGTTCCTATAGCCATTTATACTTCAAATACTTAAGTTTATGCCAGATCATGTATTTAATATACCATGAATAACACTCCACTTTCTACTTGTTTTGCACTTTTGGTCGAATGCTAACTGCATATCGCTGTCATAATGCAATGACAATAAAGCTGAATCAAATCTAATTTGTTCATGTACAGTCCAATGGTATAACGTCATATTATATGATATTTATGTGTTTTATAAGAGCGAAATAAAGTTAATAACTTTCACTTTAGTTTGACTAATTCAAAGGGGCTGCTGCTGCTGAAACCCCCCATTGTTTTGTTCTCCTGGGACTATATTATGTGTCAGAATAGCGTCAAATAGCATAGTTTAAACTTTAGGTCACTATTAGCACAGGTGACATTAATTAGCCTGACCGCTATGGCCGTGTTACACAGATAGGGGGCAGCACCGCCTTCAAGGAGGAGTGATGTGTCAACATGAAGAAGAAGGAAACACTTCCGTACAGTCAGTCTAACAGCCAGGCTCTCTGAAGTAGCTAGATTCAGCCAGAAAATGACTAAAATTAAAGACAAAAGACGTGAGAAAACCAGTGTCGCCACTGAGGTAAGACGGTGAAAGACGCGTTTTCCTCCTCCAGCTTGCTGGATAGGGGGTTAGCATGTTAGCTCGTGTCTGCTTCTGCATCCTCACATCTCTAATATGCACACATTCAATTCGTCTCTGCATTGTTTGTAGCCTTTATGGTCAATGGTGCAAAGTAACTAAGTAGATTTACTCAAGTACTTGTACAAGTTTGAGGTACTTATTTTAATCATATGGTACTTTGAGGTAAATTGTGCACTTTTACTCTATATAATCAACACTTAAATAGGACTTTAGTTACACCTGAATTAACATTCACAATCTACCCTGCAGTATACAAAAACTAGTTGCACCTTTACCAGCTGTGATAACACTTTAATGCATCACTAATTATATTTAAAACATATCAAGTGTATATCATTCTGAAATGGACCAATCTGCAGAATGAGTCCTTTTACTTTTGTTACTTTAAGTATCTTTTGTAATACTTTTGTACTTTTACTTTAGTAACATTTTGATTGCAGGACTTTTACTTGTAACAGAGTATTACTACACTCTGGTTCTTCTACGCTTACAACCCTGGGCACAAGAGTACTTCTTACGCCGGCCTCTGTTCATGGTTAAGTATTTTCAATCCAACCAATCTTAACTAAACTCACTATTATCTCTGACCTGTAAATATTCTAGATAGACCGTTTGGAGGAGCGGCGGACGCGATGCAAAGACAACCTGGACAGGGTTGAGTTCAGGAGCAGAAAGGAGAAGCTCTCTGAGAAGGACAGGTGAGGATGATGATGGTCATAGAGATGTTAAAACGTACTTTCAGAGATGAAACCTAACTTGAATTGATACAGTTGTTCCCTATAAGGCTTGTCCATGAAGTGAAAACCCTCCTTATGGTGCTGTCTCTCTCTCTCACCCTCACTGCTCCATAGGCAGGACCTGGAAGATGAAATGACCATCATTAATGAGAGGGTGCTAAAGTTAGGTAAGGAAACACTCCTACAAAAAACATGTGCCATTCAAATGTAATAAGCAGTTTCACAAATGTGTTTACATATCTAACTTCACTTTATGTGGACTTGACATTTGAATACTTTTAGAGATATCTCAATTACAATCAAACACACTATGAATGATTATGGACAAAACACAGCTTTGGATTATGTGAATCAGTCTTCTTTTGGACAGTTGCTTCATAGTTGGTCATTCCTAAATATATATAAAAACACAGACATCTGAGATAAATAGTCATTGTTGTGATCTGATTGACTCATTAAGCACATTAAAGTTTTATCCGTGCTATGATTGCAACCGTGTTTGATGTTATTACGGTGCATTAATATAAATAAGCAGTTTTTGCTGCTTCATGATGTTTCAGTTTTGGTGAAAATGTATGGCTGCCACACATTAGTTGATTCACATTAGTTTTTTATTTCCAGACAAGGAGCTGCAGACGTTAAGAGGAGAGAATCGGAGGAACATGCTGATGTCAGTCTCTCTGCTGGTCATCACTGCTCTCTTCTACTTAGTGTTTTTCTACAATGAAGAGGACTCATGATACTAAATGCTGTCATAAAGGGACTTTTTGCTCTTAAAAACCTCGGGACAGTGTTGTGATGAGGTCATGATTGTGTACAGACTTTCTGTGTTGAGGAAACTCCTCTGTTCTGCCTCTAGATGGCATCATTGTCTTAAACTTTTCTGGTCGTCATACTTTATTCATCCTGAGCAGTCAGAACCCACCACAGCTTCTTGGACTAAAGCAACACATTATGGTAATAGTGAAGTGAGCGATCAGTTTTGTATTTTCCTCAGCATGTACACTTGTAATTTTTTATCTATATACAACATTTTGTCACATAAATAACTTATCAAATATAAAGTTAATGCCACAAATAAACACCAAAGTAATAATGCTTTTATACAATATGTCAAAGACATGCTTCACAAAATTGTGCCGATTTAAGTCTGATTTAGCTTTTCAGTCACATGTAAACACGTGTGTGATAACGGAGGTTGCATTTCACGTGTGCAGTTAATGATAGAAATATTTGATACAGAATGTTTTCTCGTTACAGTGAATAAAACCTAAAGAATGCCATTTTTTGTTTTAATACTCATGCTGGCCATGCTGACCTTTCACTTATAATGCAAAACATGTGCACAAATCTCTCTCTTTAAAAAAAGAAATAACCATATGAAGGTTTGGGGTATGAGAATTGGGTTTGGTCTTATAACTGATTTTAATTTTGTTAGTTGGTATTATATATTTTTTCATTTATAAATTAAACAATAAAAAAATTGGAAAATGATTTATCGTCTTGTGTTTGTATTTCCTTGGTTACTATGTGCACTGCAGTGGTTTAGTATTACAAATATTTATAAAATGATTTTGCATGTAGAGTTTATTCCATAACTGCTAGCTTTAAAAGAGGTCCATTGTCACAGTTGGATTGTTTTTAAGTGAGATGTATCTTTTCTTCCATCGAACTAGAACTCAAATAGTATAATGGAAGACTGAAGGACATCACCACTCAGTGGGGGAGATGTGTTCTGATCACAAAGTGTATTGTTTGACACCCGATGAAGAGGAGGCGTTATTCCTCACCCAGTGACACAGCCATGGTGTGAATAGTGCTGAGGGGCTGTCTCAGGACAAGAACATCTGAAAGCCTTCTCTCTGTTTTGAGTATAAATAATTGAATAATGATCTGAAATATATGAAATTATTCTTGTAAAGACATCATTAGCAAGACCCAAATAGAATTAGGGTGACATGATGACTATGGTTCTTTCAACTATTGTATTTTCTTGACTCTCCTGTCACTAAACCCTTCTCCTAGACTGTAACACATAAGTATATTGTCAAGTTTTGAAATGTACTTAAAATTGTACTATAAGGTTGCAGTGATATGCCTTTTCTACATATTCCATACATTTTTCAGTTTTGGCCCAAGTGTAGCCTTCTAGTGTACCAATTCTCGGCTAAGTTTCCTATTTAAAAGATTAAGAAAGATAGAGATAGAGAAAAAAACACGAATTCAAAATGGTGTTAGACTCTCTGCTTTGGATGCAATGGATAGATCTTTGGTTTGGGTGGGAAACCAGTAAAATGTATGACAGCACAGCCCAGCAAATAATGTTTGTTTGCCCTCCCTCCTACACATTCTATTATCACCAACACAGTCCACAGCACACCCACACACTCTCAATCTCTCATCCCCAGATTAAACAAATGTAAACAAACCCATTATGCAACCTTACTGTGGGATTTAAAAGATGATTATGGCTACAGAATATGTTAAATGTTCACATTGTTGTTAATAGTATAGTTCATTAAAACCATTTCAAATGTATCATAGTCACATATCAGTCTGTATATTTTTGGTGAATTACATAGCTTTGTTGTGCTTTTGTTACAGTCTGGACTTGACTTTAGAATGTTAACTCTTAGATGTAATACATTTCACTGATATTTCTCAAAGAACAATTGATAACTGAAAAACCTAAACAAAGCAAAACACTGTAGCCTTTCTGTGAATTGGTTAATTGGCTGTGTTGAGCAGTCAGATGCTGAACTTGTAGTGTGTCCTCAAGTTATATAAGAACACGACTTAAACATATATATATTGTAGGATAGGTCTGTCTGAGCACCAAAATGCCAAATGTCACTTTTAATTATTTTGGTTTAGAGCACATGAGCCAAATCCGGCCCGTGGTGGATTTAATTTCGGCCCGCAGAATAATTTCTAATTATTATTAGATCTGGCCCGCTGGTATATTGCACGAACACCTTCCTCAGCTCAGAGCCTGAGCCCAAACATTGATGAACTTGCACCCAAGATGAGATGCCAAGTATCTGGCTTAAACTAGCATCACAGAGCAGCACACTGAGTTCAATGGATGTTTCCTTTTGCACTTTCTTTCTTGCGACAACAGGGCATGTTTGTTTTTTTCTTTGAGGGAAATTGTTTTTTTGAAGCTGTTGTTGGCCTGTGGAAAAATGTAATCATAAGAAATGACTCCGGAAAAGCTGCAGATAGAGCCATAAGAAATGAATGCAACTGATTATTTAATGTTTAATGTTGTTTTTATAGGCAATAATTTAAGCTTTGTTAGTTCCAGGTTTAATACGTGCAATAAGTTCATTTCAATAAGTTTTGCAATACACATTTAACCAGTCCGGCCCTCGACTAGTACCCATTTTTTCATTTTGGCCCACTGTGTATTTGAGTTTGACACCCCTGCTTTAGAGGCAGG